TGGGTGACCCCGGCGTGGGGAAGACCAGCCTGGTCAACCTCTTCGCCGGCGTCCAGGAGAGGGACCTGCTGGACCAGCACGGAGGTGGGTGTCTGGTGGGGGGAATCTGCTGCAGAGTCACCTGCGGGGCATCCTGTGGGCCCATGCTGGGACAAAGCCATGTGTGAGGCGGAGAGGAGCCCGGGACGCTGCTGCCAGGGAATGCGGCGCTGACCGAGCTCTCGTGGTGTCCCGCAGGGGCCGCGTACGAGCGCAGGCTGACCGTGGATGGCGAGGAGACCACGCTGCTGGTGCTGGACACCTGGGAGCCAGAGCAGCGGGTACGGTGGGGCTGGGTGTTGGAGTCAGCTGGGCGTGCCCAGGGGACATTGTATGGGTACAGGTGCTGTCTTGGGGCCTCTGAGCACTTTGAAGGGCAACCTGCGGCCACCCTCTCTATGTGTGGGGCTCACCAGAGTGGAGCACAGGATACACACTGGGCAAGACAGGCTGGATCACATCTCTACCCAGCTCTGTGCCCACCCTCCCCGAGCATGGGAGGCTGCCTGCTGTGTCCTCACTGGTGTGGGTTCTTGAATGATAACCCACTTCAAAATGCATAGAAATGGTTTGGGAGTGGGGCTGCAGGATCCAACTGGGTAAATCCACAAGTCGGTATGGCCAGCCAGAACACTTTACTGGACAGAATGGTGCCCCCAAGAGCCTGGCATAGGACATTCCTCATGCTCAGAAGATGAGGTATCTCCTGTGCAGAAATACCAGTGCTGCTGTCACTGCCTCCCTCCAAATGCCTCCCTCCTTCCCTCCATGCCAGGGCCCTGCATTTCTGCAGGTGCCACCACACAGTGAGTCCCCAGGAGTGGGGATGGAGTCAGTGCCCAAGCTGTGGACAGGGGTGCCAGCACCTGCATTCACTGGGGCTGTGTTTGGCACTTACCTGCACTGCCCAAAGATGCCCCAGCACCATAACACCCCCACAATGCCTCCTTTTTTACCACTACAGCTTATTCCCACACTGCCCAGCAGTGCCTGGATCATGCAGGGTTTAGCACCCACCACACTGTCCCACAGCATTCCCAGGAGATTCAGCCTCACCCCCCCACACCAAGCTGAGCCCACAGTCCCAGTCTGTTGATAGAGGAAAACTCCCAAATATTCCCCTCAAAATCAAGAGGTTTTAATCTGCATTTAACTATTAGGGTAACACATCTGTTCTCCACAGTGTGGGGTCTGGTGGGGTGCGCTGACAGGTTCCATCAGTGCCACGGTGCTCTCCTGTCCCCTGGAAGTGGTCGTGGCCACAGATTGGTGACATCTTATTCCCCATGTGGTGACAGGGTGAGGAGAGCCAGCGGCGTAGCCACTGCCTGCAGGTAGGGAACGCCTACATCATCGTGTACTCTGTCACTGACCGGGACAGCTTCGAGAGCGCCTCAGAGCTGCGCATCCAACTGCGCCGCGCGCGCCAGGCTGAGGACATCCCCATCATCCTGGTGGGGAACAAAACTGACCTGGTGCGGTGCCGAGAGGTGTCCGAGGAAGGTGAGTAGGGAGTGAAGGTTCTGGCTGGTGGAGACCCCTGCGGGGGCTCCATGCCCAGTCGCTTCCCCTACATCTGTCTCCTTGTCCCTGGATGTGCAGCTGCTGTTGTGCATGTGGCAGTGCCCGTCCCACAGCATTTGGGGTGACAGCAGGGCCGTGTCCCCTCCCTGTCCTTCCCTTGCAGAGGGCCAGGCCTGTGCCGCTGTCTTCGACTGCAAGTTCATTGAGACGTCAGCAGCTCTGCAGCACAACGTGGCTGAGCTCTTTGAGGGGGTGGTGCGGCAGATCCGCCTGCGCCAAGGGGGCAAAAAGTCCCACCTGCACCCCACAACTAGTCAGAAGCACAAGGAGAGCCTCACCAGCAGAGCCCGGCACTTCCTCGATAGGCTGGTGGCCAGGAACAGCAGCAAAGTGGCCCTCAAAGTCCGTTCCAAGTCCTGCCATGACCTGTCTGTGCTCTGAAAGCCACGGTCCTGTCTCTCCGCACACTCCAGCTGGGACTCTGCTCTCTGCAGTGTGACCAGTGGCTCTGTGGAGAGCTCAGACAGGGCTGGAGTGATGCTGAGGATGTGGAACTGTTTTCACTGCTGAGGGATGCAAGGGTGCTCTGGATCTGGCCACTCTCCTCCAGGAGAGAAGATAAATGGGACCAGGTATGTGGGGTGGAGGATGGGATGGGTACCTGCCCTTGGAGTGGTGAGATTTTGGATCACAGCTGCTCCTGCAGAGCTGAAGATGAGGGGTAGCTGTGCCCCAGAGCAGGGCTGAAAGCTACCAGGAGTGTGGCAGGTCCTGCTTGCAATGCTGTCCTTTGCAGAGCAGCAGGGACTGGCAAGGGCACCATGGCATTGTCCACCTTGGACAGCCTGGAGCCTGGGAAGAGGGGGTAGGGGAGCACCAGTGGCATCACCTGGCACCCTGACTGTGCTGTGCCAGGGCTTTGTGCCATGTCTCACTGGCACCAGTGCTTCTGTGCTCTCTCTGTACTGATGTGATGGGGAAACCCTTGATCTGCAGAATAAATCCGTCAGGGAGGTGCTGTTCTCTGCTGGGTCCCTGCTCTGGGGAGCCACATCCCAGATCCACACGGTCAGATTGAAGCTCTGTTCCTTGCCTATGGCCAGGGCTGAGGATCTGCTTCCTGCTCTAGCCAGGCCTTGGCTGGCTCCTTCATTAGCTGGAGTATCCTGGGGCAAGGACAGCCTCTGTCCAGGGCTTCCTTCAGCTACCCTTGGAGGTGGTCCCAGTTCCTTACCCAGTGGTCCAGCGTTGTCCCCTGTGAAGCCCCCTGCACTTCCCAGCTCTGGAAAAGCCTGTGGGAAAGGTTGAGCTTTGCTGAGCTGCAGGTTTAAAGTCCCTGAGCACCGTGGGAGCTGCAGCCTGGGCAGGGAGCCGGGTGCTTGGTGGCTCCTGGTGCCCCGGGAAGGGGCAGGGAGCAGGAGCCGAGCGGAATGGCACAGCCAGGAAGGGACGTGCTTGGCTGCAGCAAGCAGGGAGTGACCCTGGGCACCCGGGGAAGCCATGCTGGAGCTGTGTGGGCTTTGCCTGTTGTTTTTAGGCTGTGCTGCCATCCAGCAGCTGGGATTCCATGGGGGAACCTGCTCAGCATCTCAGGCCCGATGCCAGGGAGGATCAGCAGTGCCCTCCTACGCAGGTCGGGAGTTTCCGCTCACTCTGTGGTCAGACTGTGGGGAGCCACTGGCTGTGGCTGGCACAGATGGGACACTGGGATGGGGCAGCACCTTCTCCCTATGGGAAACTAGACTCTCCAGAGGTGAAAGCCCCTAGCTTTGCCCTCAGAACTGGGGAGGTGGGTGCTCAGATTTTTTTCCATGCTCCTTAGTGCCCATGGCATTGCTGCTCCATCCTCGCTGCTGCTCTGCTCCTATTGCTCTTCTCTGGTGCTCCCGGCTGGCCGATTCCTGGTGCTGCTGGAGGCGATGCTGTGGTTCACACAGCATCAGGCACGCCGGGGGTGGGGGCTGCACCCGAGGGACAGGGGCTCCTTGCTGCTGCTGGTCCCTCCTGCAGCTGCAGCTGGTGTTTCCCTGTGGCAGGAGACGGGGGAGGGGGACCATGGGATGGAAAGTTGGCAGGCAGCAGAGAGGGGAGTGGAAAGAATGAGCTCAAACCCAGAAAAATGCGGCCGTGCTGGAGGATGGGAGGAGTGGGAGGAGAGGCCAAGGGGGGCCACGGTGAGGCGCTGGGAAAGAGAGGGGGTGGAAGGAGGAGGGAGGGTGGAAGGAGAAGTTGCTGGCAGGGGGCCAGGAACTGCCTGTGGCCCCCATCTGGGCCCACTCCTGGTGGTACCAACTGCTCCAGCGAGTGCTCTCGGGGCTATCCCAGTGCCATCTGCCTTTGGGCAGCCACTGGCTCCAGTGCTGTCTGTCCCTGGGTGGCCATCGGTCCCAATGTCATCCATCCCCGCGTGGCCACCAGCCCCAATACAGTCTCCCCCCTGTCCCATGGGCTCCCTGGTGCCACCAGCCCCGGTGCCCCCCACCCTGCTCCGGGACCCCGCTGGCTCCTCGCTGGCATGTGGCCACCCTGGGACAGCAGCCCCCGACTCCTCCACCTCGCTCTGCACAGCGACGCTGCCCTTTGTGAGGATTCCCAAGGCAGGCTGGCGTTCAGAAGGGGGCAGTGACGGGGTCAGGAGCTGTGCTGTGCCAGGCTGGGCCGTGGCAGGCAGCAGGGTGGGATGCAGGGGGGTGTGTGGGCTCACTGCCTTCTGCTGCCCATCCTTCCCCGCTCTGGGAGCAGCAGTCGCAGGGAGAGGGCAGCATCCCGGGCAGGAGGCCAACCCCGCAGAGAGGGGTTCCCAGGAGGCCTTCCCATCTGCCCTCCGCCTGAAACACGGAACTATGAATCACCCCGGTCCTGAAATAGATTCTTTATATTTAAAATACAAAATTTAAAAGACATTAAAAAAAAAATAATTAAAGACTTGTGTTATAATCGCTGCTGTGCTCTCATCTCCTGCCCATGGCTCAGATCTGAACTGGGGGCAGCACCATTTCACTGTGCTTCACCGATTTTTGCTCCTCAGCGAGGAGGAAGAGGAGAAGGCTTGGTGGCACAGCCCAGCTGCCAGTGGCTTGGAGTATTTGCGAGGAAAACACACATTTCGGCCAATTTTCCAGCAGAGGCCTGGTCCCAGTCCAGGGGAAGTGGGGACCAGAGCGTGGGGAGAATTTGCTGCCATTTATAAGTCATTTTACAGAGGGGCTGTTTGCTGCGAGCACGGGTGGGCTGGGAGCAGTCAGGGGGATCCCCAAGAACAGGGGTGCAGATCCTTGGGAAACGGTGAAGGACATGAAATCCCAGGGCAGCCCAGGAGCCCCCGACCCAACTCGCTCGAGTCGGTGACACCTGGAGCTGCCACCTCCCCGTCCCCGGGGGGCTGCGGGAAACCGGGACCCCTGCCCGCAGGGACCTCCTCGGGCTTCCGCCGCCCCTCACGCAGCGGAGCTT